CAACATTAGGCACACACACACACACGTAATAATAAAAATAATAACCAAGTAAATTGTGAAATGAGTTGTCTGCACACAAAAATTGTTATTTGTATCAAAGCAAGGTAATTAATTAAAAATTAGGTTTGAATGTACGCAAGTTTAGCGAAAGAAGCAAGAAAATGAAATAGTTGCCTGCACACAAGGAATATTAATTAAATATTTACAAGGTGATTATTTAAAAAATAGGTTTCTATCTACGCGAGTTTAGCGAAAGAAGCAATAAAAAAGTTGTCCGCACACAAGAATTATTAATTTAATGTTTACAAAACTGATTTTCTTATTTCCAAACTTATTTTTTAAACATCATTTTTCTATGTACGCGAGTTTAGCCAAAGCAGCAAGAAAATATAACTTACTTAACATTGCCGTGGTGAGGTCTAGTCCCGTGCAGAGCCCCCAGCCTCGCCTAGATTGGCCAATCGGCCGAGGTGGCACCTTGGCAGGCTGGGGGGCTGGGCCGCTCCCCCCGCCCGCGCTACAATAATACTATCTAACCTCAGCATTGTGTACATTTTTTGTTAGCATTTTTAACATGAATGAGAACTACCCCCCCCCCCCCCCCCCCCGACCGATAATGCATATGGGTTGCCAGGGGCAACCCCTGGTCAGCTGTGTTCCGAGCTGAGCGGAGAGAGAAAATAAATGAATAAACAATCACGCTAAAACGTTCATTTAACTACTTTTAAGTTGACGGGCGGGAAAACAGAATAGCGTTGGCTCACCACTGGGCTTACGGTGTGGTACCTAGCTACTTTTTTTATGTAAACCCCACCGTTTGAGAGCCAAATCCTTCGCAAGTGTGCGTCCACAGACACAGACAGACAAAAAATTACATTTATAGGTAAGAACAGTAATTTACAGCTGTTGGAAAATCCATTGCCGTATAAAGACCAACTCCATACCGTGTTGGTCATGGGGTTGTTGTGCCGCACTGTGCTGGTCAGTGTTGACCATACAACCGGTTCCACTGTCACTCGCCACTGACGATATTCGTGGCCGGAAACCACGTTCAGGTTGCAAAGTTCACATTATGGTGTACTCCGAACCACTTGTGGATATTTATAACCGCAATGTTCTGCACACGGGGAGGAAAGCATTGCAATTTTCCAAGCAAACGTGACCTTGACATTAATGGAAATGTTGGTCAGGGAACAAGAGAGCAAAAAATGAGATTAACTTTAATATAAATTTACATTAATTTGCACCACTACCATTTAGAGTTTGTGTGTAACGGGGAATTAGTTCGGGAAGATTAACTCCGGATGATTCAAATTATTGTCCGAGCATAAATGCTCTTTTTTAATTGTGTGGATTTAAAACCATTATTTCCTGCATAATATATTTTTGGGTTAGATCGCGTAAATGTGTTGTTAAACCCGCCACCATCCGACACAGCCAATTAGTAAGGTTTGTCACGTAAACAAATCGTGCAAATTCATTAGTAGTACAGCACACCGGTGTGTTAGCCAGCAAATCCACAACATTTACTATCCAAGTACAACGTTTCGCCAGTAATAACAAATAGCTTCTTCAGGTGGAGAAATCCTCGTTCCTTAAATAGAGGGGGAGATGTGATGTCACTTTAGTCTCTCGTGCGAAGGGGGGGATGAATTAATGCATGTAAATGACAATGGGTATCTATTGCCAGTTGGGTTATTCATTTGGTAATCAACATTATGCATACACATTGTTCTTGTACCGCTTGTCGTTTGCGTGCAATAAAATAGCAGCACCTGTTATTGTCTGCGTACAGGTCCCCACTGACCTATGGTGACCTGTATTAGGCATGCATTTAAACCATGTATTTGATAATTCGCTCCCAAGCAGCAATAAGCCTGTAGCTATTCGAATAGTTAAAATAATTTTTCTATCTTAATTTCGATAAATTCTCTAAATAGCCTTGGCCAGTAGTAACTAGTTTTGCACAGAACTTCAACATTATCAAAATAAATTGAGTATCCTTATCGACACGCGTGTTCTGCCACTGCCGACAGTTGTATTTGGGAGGATTTAATATTCCTTTGATGTTCTTTTAGTCTCGTGCTGATCATTTGTCCTGTCTGCCCAACAAAGCATTTGCCAAAAGTGCAATTAATCTGGTACACACCTGTTGATAGCGTCGGTAAAACATATTTCGTACCAGATGATATTAGTTTCTGTATTTTATGTGCCGTTCCAAATCTGACTCAGATGTTTTCTTTTTCCAAAAAACTAGCTAGTTTGTCAGTTACTCCTGTAATGTACGGTATTTGAATAGTTTTAATTACTTGGTTCAGTTTAAACTCTGGTGTTATTTTATTTGGTTTTGACATTCAGTGCCCTGTTGATTTAAGCATAATTGTAACCATTCAACTGCAGCGCTGCTTTAACATGTTTAATTTCACTACTCAGACTATCACCATCTGACACTTTCTTAGCCCGATGTATGAACATCTTGATGAGAGATAATTTCTGTGCTGGATGATGGCGTGACTCTGCATTCAGATAGGCGCCAGTGCGCGTTTTGTTTTGGTAAACGCTGTGTGTTATTTTACCATTTCGGCTGCGCCCGAGCAAAATATCCACACATGGGAGAGTTCTCTCAACTTCCACTTCCATGGTTAACTGGATGGATGGGTTCTGAGAGTTGAGATGATTTAGAAATTCGTTAAGTGTATCTTTGCCATGTGGCCAGACCACCAGTGTGTCATCCACATTTAAACCAACCAGAGGGTTTTAGTGTGCTTAAAGCTAGTGCCATTGCTTCAAAATCTTCCACGTACAAATTTTCTATCACAGGAGACAAAGGAGAGCCCATTCCTGCTCATTCCTTTTGTTTATGGAATCACCTTTCCACAAGAAATAGGTGTTCTTTAAACAGTGTTCAGCTAGTTGTGGTATAGCTTTGGCTAAACCTGTATTCTTTACCAGAGTAGAGTCATTTAATTGACTCAATGACCAGAACCCTCATGAACAGAGAGGTCACATCAAAAACCTATGATTAGGGTTAAGCTTAATATTTAAATTATATTTACGAGATGTTCTGGAGTTTTTAATGAACGAAGAGGTCCTACCAAGGGTAGGGCTGTATTTGTTTCGTTACGTATTGTACTAATTGAAATGTGGCAGAGCCTATTGTACTAACTATGGATCTTAAATCGGACATCAGGTTTGTGAATTTCTGGTAGTCCATAAAGACTGTGGTTTTGACACCCTTGGTTTTATCAGGTATTGCTCTTCCTTGGGAATGTATGACTTGGCAATGATTGCCGGTGTCTTATGTTCCAAGATGTTGGTTGGGTCTCGTTTAATTTTAAAAGTGGGTACCTTCAAATCTTGATTTAAAGCTTTCGTGATTGCAGGAAATCACTCTGTAAACCCACCGGCTATCATCAAAGATTTGTTCATGAAGCCATCCAGATATATAAACACAGACACAACTTCAACTGAGAAGATGGGTACAATTTGAGCAATCATTGCAAAGACGTGATTAACCAGGTAAAGTCTTAACCTGCTGTGATGTTTCCATCCTTCCTGTCGATGTTAGCCCGACTCTCTGAGTTGCATTACTAGGTTGGATGTCTTTGTATTGACAGGCTGGATGTCCTACTCACTCAGTCACCGATGCAGTGCATTACTAGGCAAGTCACCGATGCATCGACATACTAAGCTCGTACATTGACAAGCGAATCTATCCCAATACAATGGCCACTTCCACAGCCTCAGGGAGACCATCTCTCGCCCCACCCTCTTACCCCAAGGGGACTCCCATCTCAGGCCTATACAAGACCTTGTTTCAGTAGGTTTCTCTCTCTCACCTAAAGACGATTGCTTGTGGTGCGATCGAAACGTCGTGATCTATTATTTTTCTATCTACGTGACTTTACCAAAAGACCCAAAGAGTATGGGTACCTTCAGTGTAAATCTTTGATTTTATTATCATAATCCTCACGGGGCATCACAACAGTTGATCGGCCCTTATCAGCGGCAATAATTTCGATATCTTTATTTGGTCTCAGTTCTCTTAAGGCTTTTGCCTCACTCAAACTAATTTGTTTTTGTCAATTTACTGTTCTCAATAATATTGGCAACCTCATGCCTAATCATCTCAGCTTGATTGTTCCAATGCACAAAGTGAGCCTGAAGATAAGGACTGTTTGCTGGATATCCACGAGAGTTTGTGATTAGCTACAGGTCGAGATGCCACATCTTTACAGCATGCACGTTTCCCCCGTGGTCGCGTAATTTTTTCCCCCTTCACTTTAATAATCAACGCGTGTTTAGAGTGTTTGGCTGTCATACATTTCCACATAAGCGACTTAATTGAGCTATCATCGGTGGCCAGGTTGCTTCAGAAAAAAAGCTATACAGATCAGTGGGCCTTACCTGGTAAAAGATAAATACTTTAATAGTTTAAGTATTTTTTGGGAGTGCTGTCACAATCGGATTTGTGGAAAACCGAGCATCAATTTGTATTGCTTACTTGCGGGCGGTTATCGGTAACGCGAACAAATCGAAATCAACAATCCACAGTGCAATACATGCCTGTTGCTGGAGAGTGCCCCGTCTTCATACACAATGGCTAGAGTTTTGGAAAGCGTACACCATGTTGAGGAAATGGTTTACCAGACTGCAGGTCACTATAACACTCACTCTCACCCACTCAACCATTCACCTATTCACCCACTCACCACACTGCAGGTCACAATGCTTCTCTTTCTGCTTCTTCCCTCGCATGGCTCCACTTTGGTATCTCCTCCTCCCTCCTCCCATCACCGCTTCCCCCCCCCCCACCACGATCTGATAATAACCTTGCTAAATTCAAGAACCGTGTCCACTCATATCAGAGTTACCACTCTGGCGGTGCTGTTTGTTGCTGGCCACTTAATATTTCGAGACTTCATGTCTGTGCTCAACAGTTGAGTAGGTGTAAAAAATGTATATAAATATAGATAAAAGGAGACACATGCTACACAGACCTGCCGGGCTTGCTGATGTACTTCTGCAGCCGTGCTTTGACTTCGTCGTACGTGAGGAAGGCCATGTAGCCAGGGTGCGTGACGGCCAATACGTTCCAGTTGCGCAGCAGCGAGGACCAGGGCTGAGAGAAAACAAAAAGGCGCACACAGAGTCACTTCCGTAAACAAACCCCGCTCGGCAGAAGCAGCACGCGCACAGGGCCCGCAGACAAAACCAAGACAGCCTGACAATTAGACATGGAGCAAGTCGTCGATTAACGTAACACGTCGGTGTTTGAAAGCAATATTATAACAATCTTCATGTTAATGTTATCACAGTTCATAATTATAGAGAGAATTAGGCCATGTTATGGTCTGGCCACATTATTGTAAAGTAACCATCCACCACCCGACATTCTGTTTCAAGCAAAACATTGTTTGGCTGTGAGAATTGATCAAATCAACGGTGAGCTGAAACAAGAATAAAAATAGGTACATTAATACTTTTTGGTTCTTTTCGGTAAAGTCACGTAGAAAGAAAATAAGTAAAATAATAGAATACGACGTTTCGATTGCAACACAAGCAATCGTCATCAGGTAGAAAACAAACCTATTAAACTTAGAAATACAATGCAATACAACACAGAGAGTCTGCTAACACAAGTCAACACCCTACCCTGGTTGATTACGTTCTTCCAAAGATTGCTAAATTTGAGAGAGACAAAACAGACACGGAGACACACAACGTGTTGCCAGTAATTACAACCAGCATCATCAGGCAGACAGCCAGATTTGTGGATAAATCCTCCTGTTTCGTTCCTTAAATAGAGGGGGTAGATGTCATGACGTCACTCGTGAGTCCTTCATGTGCAAAGAACTTAAACATTAAAAAAATTAAGTTACTACTGGCCAAGACTAATGAGAATATCGAAACTGAGAGAAATAAAAATAATTTTAACTGTTCGGATAGTTACAAACGTAATGCTGCTTGGAAGACAATCATAAAAGAATACAATTATTTAAACGCATGCCTATACAGGTCACCATACGTCAGTGGGTATTCATATTTATGCGATCCAACGCAAAAAACCTGTATTATGGAACTTGTTGCTTAGATGTGGACAAAGCAGTTGGCCAGCAACAATTACGCTGTGCGGTTTTGAGTAACTTTTTTCGTGCGACAGATCTCTCAGGCGTGTGGGCGCACCAGTGAGACTATATTATTTACGCAAATGATACTTAAATTAAGGCTGCTATAATTTAACATGGGTCAAAAATAAACTATTTAAATTTTACTCGGCAAGGGCCCATGAGTTACACAGCTATTTTAGAGAAGTGACCTGGCCAGAAATGATAGCCTAATCAAGTGACTTATCATGTGAAAATGTATAGTAGCCAAATACTTGAAATGCATGTATCAAAATATGGAGATAAACACCGGAGGGCCCGGCGAAAAATAAGAAAAATACAACAGGCGTCAGAGTTGGGATCAAACCCACGACCTCCTGTATACCAGGTGAGGTAGTTAACATCTCTCCACCGCGGCACCCAATAATAATATGTCATACAACTGTTTACATCGTAAAATACAGTATAAACATACGAGGATGATTTACTTTACAAACCTTGTATTTTGGACAAGCTTTACGTTGTGTAGCGATAACATGTGTGGTTTAATATTATTAGAGAAGAGTACATGGGCGGTGGGGAATGCCAGGGGAGGAAGAATACAGCTGGAGGATGTGACATTGGGGTTTTATTAACATTGGATGAGTCTCTCACCAGCGTCTCCCACACCCCCATATTTCATAACATTACAGAACAACAACTCGCACATCCATGCCAATTCCATCCCCACCACCCCCCCCCCCCAATGAATTACAAGTCAGAGGCCACCAAGTAAAAAAGAATAACAATGTTTTAAGTAACAAGCAATTTAACAACAAAATGTGCCTTTCAAATCATGACCTTCATCAGCCATTGTTAATCTACTGCTGGACAAATAGCTACTGTCAAGCTGAAGAATATATCCACTTAGTGGTGGATAGATAATGGCTGATAATATAATGATTACGATACAACTCTGGTCAATGTTGCATTGGTGATCAGTCAGAGTGTGTCGATGACCACCGTATGAACAGCAATGTTTAGCAATTGTGGTATTATCTCTGTCCCTGTCATTATGGACATTACCAACCTAAAGCATCCATTCGGTACAAAGACCGTGCAATGCCCCTTTTGCAATACAAACCTCAAAATAGGGCTATCAAACCGGATAACTATTGCACATGCCATACACCTCAGTGAAGTGGAATGTCAATTACGAGTTAATAAAAGGGGAAGCTGCAGTCTCCACTGTGCAAGCCAACATCAATAGCCTTCCCACCCAGCCTCATTGCTCGTGCAGACACGGCCAATTTGGAGGGCATTTGAAAAATGGTACAAAAGGTGTCAGATTATCTCTGCCCACAAGAAAGATGCGATGCATTGTCGACAATTTTCCTATCATTATTTCTTAAAGAAGTTTTACGTCCACATCTGGATGAAAGGGAGGGGAAGTCATTAAATTTAGCACCATCGGAGCCATTCAACTCATAAGAACAAGTAGTAGCTATTGGGCAACTGCAGACACTATCCAAAGCAATAATGTTGCCGAGTCCAGATAGAAATATGGTATATACCCTAATTTTTATTCCAAGTGTCGAAGGTTCATATGGTTAATAAAATCAAGCAGCCACTCACAACCGAGAGCCAGGATTGTGGTTTACCATTTAAACCAATTAGTCGACTAGGATTGTAACCAACTACTTTTGCTGTGGTTGATTACTTTGCCCCTCCCACCACGCTTCCTCCCGAAGGCAGGCAACGCTAGACTTGATGAACGTGATGATGACGATCATACCACCATGCCCCGCTAAACCCCTTTCTCTTCTGGCATCACGTATGTATCCGATTAGTGACGTAACAGGACCGATATACAGGGAGCACAGCTCTACCCTCGGAACACTAAAGAATTGCCTCTCCGTATGATGTGAAAGAAGTCCAACAGTCTGTTCTCCTATAATGTGGTAGTAGTTGCGTTCTTGAAGAACGCTGTGTTTTGGAAAAATCGCGTTATAATAAATATACGGTAAAACACAGTCCGCGATAACACGAGATGCGTATGCATGGCAAATATAGACTGAGGCACGTGGATAGCATCTAGAAGCATCCAGCAGCATCCCGCCTTGTGTGATGCTACGCCGAGGCAGCTGTACAAACTGCTTATTCCTATGTACGCGACGTAGTTCTGTTCACTCAATCGCGTTATAGCCAGTTCAGTTCCATTTCAGTTCCATTTATTAGGTATAGCCCTGTGAGCCATTCGGCTCTTGAATCGGGTGCAACCGCAACAAACAAAAAACAAAAACATGAACAAGAAAACATCTTAAAGTGACTATGTGACTGTGCAAACAGAAAATCCAGGAAAAAACATTAAAATATTCCTGAAAAAGCACCGTACACCAATGCTGTTTGCAAAAATCCCAGTGGGATGCAAGTCAAACAACAACAACCACAAGACAACTTAGATTAAGGCCATCAGTCTAACTCCGTACTACAACAAACAAAAACATGGCCAAACCAAAAAACGTCTTCGAAATCACCAAAATAAAGCCATAAATGCAATGCGTTATAAAAACATGTGTTCCCTAATATATTTATCATGTTGTATGCAATTCGCGTCATAAAAATACGCGTTATAGGAGAACAGACTGTACATACATGTGTTCTAAATGACACATTTCACACAGAGGAGAGCATACACGCGCAGTGGAAAGCAGCGAGCACGCAAGAGCTAGAGGTGGTTTGACGAAGATTATGCCGTGACTGCTTGTGTACCGTCCATACAATGTAAGAGTGGGTGTTTTTTTCTCGTATCTTTCTAAACCTCACAGGATAACATTTTCGTCCTGGTTGCATTTTTTAGTGCATTTTCCCAGATCAATGTGGTAGGAAATAGCATAGGTATCGAATTGATATCTTTAACGCACTTGTTGAGAACAGCCCAAACAGCGCAAAACGTCAAATGGCCAGCAACAAAAAGCAAGATAAAAAGTTGCAATGTACAGGAGTTAACGTTTCTTGAATTCAGCACGGCTATAAGAATTTTAAAAATAAATGATAAGGAATTACCAAGTGCAGCAGTGCGAGGGAAAGAAGCAGGAAAAGAAGCAGGAAAAGAAGTGTGGTGACCTGCAGTGTGGTGAGTGAATGGAGTGAGGAGTGAGTGAGTGGGTGGGCGAGTGAGTGAGTCAGTGTGCATTGTTGTGACCTACAGGATGGAGGTTGAACAGTGTCGGATAAGACGAAGCAGTCAGTCTGGTAGACTAAGTCCTCAAAATCACCGAAGAAATTAGTGAAGTTCACAGTGTTAAGGCGTGCGAGCGCGTAACTGGAGGGAGTCGGTGAGTGCTGGATCATCACTGGCTGCTCGACTCTGAATTATATCAAGCGCAGCGGCGACGTAGGGACCGGGGCGCATCCCACCCCAGGTACCATCTCACCTGGAAAAGACGAGTGAAGATGTCGAACTCAAATATGGAGATGTAGTCGTTGCATGTGAGGTCGATGGTGGATTTTAGGGCCATGGCCTCTAGGCCCGAGCTGATGGGGTGCACCTCGTGCAGGCACTGCCGGAATGCCTTCCACGACACGATGGTCCTGTACAGACACAAAGCACGCACAGCACACATCATCATTTTAGTAATCATCATTATAACCATCATCATCATGGCGCTTTACCCAGGAAGGATTACCCGAGTTACAAGAGACTCGTTTTCAAGCGTGTTCTGCAACGTTTTCACATTTAGAAACACACGTTTAGAATATTTATATTATTTGGCCACTATAAATTTGCACACGAAAAGCCATTTAGTTGAGCTGTCATCTGTGGCCAGGTCGCTTCTGAAAGAGAAGCTAATAAGCTCAGTAGGCTTCACCTGGCAAAATAAAAATGGTTTAGTTTTATGCATAGGAGTTCATGTTTCCATATAGGTCAACCCCATATCAGTGCCTACCTTATTACCTACAAATTCAGATCTTATTGGTCACCCCGTGCCCTAATAAATTTCAACGTTGACCCTACAAAGTCCCATCACAACACAAAAAAGTGTTTCTCAATTTCCGTATACAAGAATACGGGTAAACCGTATGGGTTGACAGGTATGCGTTTCTTGAATTTAGCAAGGTTAGAGCTAACGCCAAGATCCCTTGTTTAGCGATTTGCTTACCTTCCTATACTTTGCACTCTTATCATGTTTTTGTATTGCTTGTTATTGTAACTTTCTTACCTGCCCCTAATGGACATCTGTGAAAAAGAGCTTTATAACTTATCAGATTCCTCCCAGTATGAGTAAAGATTCTGATTTTTATGTTTGTCATATGTAAACCCGATTGAGTAATTTGCAGGTAACGTCTCAGCATTGGGACGTGTTGGTCCAGGGGTCAGCAACCTGCGGCTCCGGAGCCACATGCGGCGGCTCTTTAAGGACTGTTTCGTCACGTCATTTATTAAGGACCCACCGTCTCGTATTCACAATACACATTGCGGCTCTTGAAATATTGATGGTTTTTTTACAGTTATTCTAAGTGTCTTTTTATTTTGGTTTCCCGCCCCCTGCTTTGGCCAATACCAGTACACTGTAGATATTATTTTTAGCTACGATAAAAAAACTAAAACCCAGAGAAAACCCATGCAGAACAAGGGGAGAACAAACTCCAGAGAAAGGCGCTCCAGTTGGCAATTGAACCCCGGGCCTTCCTGCTGTGAGGCACACGTGTTACCACCCCGTTTCAACGTGTGTGTGCATGTTTGTTTTGTGTTGAGGAGCATTCGTTGTAATATTTTACACAACTGCATCCCTGACTGCCATCCGTGTCACATCACCAGACTTGTGCATCCACCCTAATCTCTAGCAGGGCGGTGCAATCCTTCCGTGTATTTGAGAACGGTTCACGGAAGCGGATATCACGGAGCTACCCCATGATTCCGTCACGTGACCTCTGTGCCACATGTAGTGGGGGACAGCAATTTCCCAGCCGCTGTGTACGAGAAAGTTAACGTTCGGCATATAAAAGCCAAAACGAGGTTTCTTACTTGATAAGGTGCTTTCGTGACTGCAGGAATTACTCTTTGGTTTTTTTCGGTAAAGTCACGTAGAAATAAGAAATAATAACATTACATAATAGCGTACGACGTTTCGATTGCAACACAAGCAATCATCTTCAGGTACAGAAGAGCCAGATTCACGAGAGAGAGGAAACACTTAACCGCAGATATATATACAGACACCCAAGTAGAGGGACAACAGGGGATACAGAGAGAGACGGAGGGGCACACTAAATCAAACAGGGTTTAGCAAAATTCGGAAACCATATAAAGCAACAGACGGTCGGTCAGAACACAATTAACGCATGGTCAGCCCCGCCTTCTCTGTCTATTTAAGGCATCTTCACTGTGTGCTTGTCTCTCCATGTGCCTCTGTGCTAACTCGTTCTGCTCGGATGTCTATATGTGTGTATGCGGTCTGTATTCTTTAAATTTCACACTTAACTTGCAATTTAGCAATTTTTGAAATAGCGTAATCAACCAGACCATGCGTTAATTGTCTTTTGACCGACTGTCTGTGTTGCTTTATATGGTTTCCGAATTTTGCTAAACCCTGTTTGATTTAGTGTGCCCCTCCGTCTCTCTATCCCCTGTTGTCCCTCTACTTGGGTGTCTGTATATATCTGCGGCTATGTGTTTCCTCTCTCTCGTGAACGAGGTTTCTTCTAAACCAAACCCGATTTTTGTATTTTGCAGCTGTTAGGTGTATTCGTTACAGTCTTGAACACCATGGAGGTACATAATTGTCCGACTATTGGCAAAAGACGGTTTTGCCAACATTCTCATGAGAAGGAAAAATTACCAATAAGTGAAAACACAGCTGCACTCTTGATCAATTTACACAGAAAGCCTCAACGATTCACAGCCGAGTATGCGGGACAATTTATAAACAGTGTAGAAAACAAATTAGCACGTAGGCTTTCGCGACCAATATTATTCATAATAAAGGTTTTTGGGTTATATCGCGTTATTTATAAATGTGTCTAACCAAACAACCTTTATTATGAGTGGAGGGCAAAGTCCGCTCTCTTATTACCTTTAGGTCGGCTATCCAAAATCCCTCCACAACAGTGCACTCTGGTTCGTATCTGCAATCGTGCAACTGATGTAGTCCATTGATGTATAATGCAACTCGGAGCCACTAGAGGGCATATGACTCACCGGCTGCATTATTCCAGCAGGTCCGTTTGAGTACAATGTTAGCAAAAATGTTAAAACTCCAACTAAAAATCTCATTATGAAATAAATATTAAAATGCAATAGTATATTGGGGCTTATCGCATTCAACTGACCCATGAAATGTTTAACATCCATAGCATGCATTTTTTATATGAGAAAGGTTCCACTGCGCTACTTGAGTCAAAAACATGAGTATTTAAAGTTGTGAATGTGCCAAGTTGCAAAATCCACAAAACACGAGTGTGCAGCTGTCCAATGACCAAAACATGCATCATTAGCTCTGAAACACGACAACTTATCAGTGCAAGCGATGCGCGCAGTTCGCTGCATAGTGCCCAAGCCGTGTGCTTCTCTTCACTAAACGAAAATACGTGCGCAGTCAGTCGCTTTATTTTGCAGATTTACAGCCGCCACGCCGTCCAGAATTCAAAATGCCGGTCTGTTCGGCAACCAATGAGCAAGGAGCATTTGGTGAGTGGGCAACTCGCTCGGGTATACAAAGGTGCAGATGGCGTATTCATGATGTTGCCACAGCAGCAGTCGTTAAGGCTCGTCTATGGGAGGCCTTTAGATGCACAACAAAGCAGACAATTTAAAAAGCGACTGCGTGGGTTTTCGCAGTCGTGTTGGACATCTCTCTTTCTGACGTGTTTTCGTTCCGCGTGCTGGGAGCGTCTTCAGAAAATGGACGGAGCGGTTTCATCTCCCGCGATTATGAAGCGCTGCCGGCTGTCGCTGTATGTGTTTGGAGTTTGCTTGTCTCTTCCCGTGGTACTCTGCTTTTGCCTTGCACATTTAGAATCATGCGTTGAGTATTTGGCTATTATACATTTCCACATAAGCTACATTATTGGGCTATCATTTGTGGGCAGGTTGCTTCTGAAAATGAGCTATATAGCTCAGTGGGCCTTACCTGGTAAAATAAAAAAAAAGTTTAAATTGTTTAACTGCTACTTTGGGCTGGAACCACAATTCTCTAGGCCAATTTTATTTCAAGGGATGTATTGAATTTCCTCTAATATTCAGGCCGAGAAAACAAACTTCACAAAATAGCTTAAAATGTTTAGTATGTCGGCCGGCCGATGTAGACTTATGCCCATCACTTGTGCATGCGCGGCAAGACTCCAGATTCCACACACCGCAACAACATAATTAAAATAATAGCGTACGAGCTGGGTATGAGCGCACATTTTATAAGCAGTTATGTTCTAAGCAACACGTGCTTACAATCCATTGGTAGAGTGGTAGTCAGATTCCACATTCTGATACAAGCAGGGATGTTCATATATCCAGTTTCTACAATATAAAATAAATTCTCAATTATTACGAGACTTACCACTCTTCTATCGCTATGACTATCATGTCCTTGTGAAGTTGATTCCTCCTCCCATGTTGAAGACTCGGTCTACCAGACACTGACTGTTTCATCTCATCCACACCACCACAATGCAGGTCACTCACTCCAACCACACCCACCCTCACTCCAACCATCACACTACAGGTCACAGCAACACTCACTCCAACTACACACACTCTCTCACTGCACCACACACTACAGATCAAAAGATGTCTTCTTCATTTGCACTGCTTCACTTTGGAATTCCCTCCCATGGTCATTTTAATCTCTGATACTAAAACTGATCAATTCAAGAAAGGTGCCAACTCCTTATCCATCAACAACGGCTACCGCATACGTCTCCGCAGCCAAAATCACGATTCACAATTTACTCTTTTCGCGAGGCCGCTTAACAACGGCAACAAATCTGCGTCGTAAGCACCACTAGTTGCTAGCCGCTTGACGGTTTTGGGGCCTGTGCTCGGCAAGCAGAACTAAAAAATAAAAAAACACAAGTTCATCGCGGAAGTGCAAGGCACCTGTCTCCAAAGGCCCTCCGCCAGAAGTCGGCTGCATCCGCCTTGGTGATGCGGAACGAGTCTCCCTGGTAGCTGCCGTTGGGAAAGACGGCCTTGAGCTCAGTCAGCATGTGGCTGAAGATGAGCGACAGCTTGGTGAGGTTTCGCCTGCAAGCCACCCACACAAACAAAACACACGGTTACATTTAAGTCCACATAACATGATCAACAACACAACACCGCCCGACACTGCCGACCAAATTAAATGGTCAATTGTGCAAGCATTTATCGCGCCAATTATTATCTTTTCACTTCACTGGTAAGTTGAAGAACAATCCTCACAAGAGAAATATAATTTGTTTGGCTGTGTTAGGTGCTTTGAGGGGTCTTAAAAGACAACAATTGGTCAAATCGTTACGAGGCGTAACCCAAAAATCAATTATGAATCATAATATTGGCTGCGAAACCCTACGTGTTAAATTATTAACACTTACTTGCTCATCTTCTTGAGTAGAGTGTATGAGCCCCCTCACAATCTAAACCACAATACAGTAAGATATGTAGTTGTAAGAAGACCAGCTAGTCAGACTTAAAAATTCACATTTGAATTTCATTCATTAAGTTGTTAATTACAGTGTGTTCACAAACCAGTCGTGCGTGTAATGAAGGGAAGAAAACATTGAAACCGACACAGGTTACAACGAGCATGAAAGTCATGATAAAAACACACTTCACCACCACATGTTTTCAGCATTGAGAAATGACAAATGAGCACTTGAATTTGCAACAATCGTTCTACTAACGTGTACACACACAAGCGATGAGTTAAATTCAATAAAAAGGTTCAACTGCTTCAATCGCAGACAACGAAAAACGGGGGGGAGGGGAGATCATTTCACCTACCAATACTGCAGCAACAACTTTTAAACAACAGCTGCATTGTCTGAACCGAAACATCTGTCGGAGCAAGAGCAAGCCAGGGTTGTTTTGAATTAAGCATCGGACATGGAAATGAGTGGGTTTTTTCAATCCCCACTTGGTCACCGCCCCTCACCCCTAATAGCATGCAAATGTCAGCTTCTCCACTGTTAATGAGAACCAAGGAGCACCGGACTTCCTCTTCAGCTGGGGGAAACGTGGAACCCGTGGCTGTCGTGTGCAACTGCTCGTCATGCGCCGTCGATATTTTTGCAAGCAAAACAATTCTGCGAAATTATCTGCAAAATAAAAATAATCTCCATTTCATCGAAGAAGTTTAATAAGAAAAATATTTTAGCAGGTAAGGCCCACTGAGCTATATAGCTCTTTTTCTAGAAGCCACAAATGATAGTTCAACGAAGTGATTTTTTGGGGAAATTCATAGCAGCCAAATACTCAAAACGCATGCATCTAAATATGGAAAGAAAAACCAGACGCGGAGAAAAATCCACACGACCACGGGGGAACATGCAAACTCCAAATATATAGCAGGCGTCAGAATCGGGATGGAATGCACGACCTCCTGTCTACCAGGCGAGGTAGTTAACACAATTACCGCCACCATGGCGCCCTCCCGACACAGTAAAAACGTAGTATGTACATCGAGTCATGGGTCAAAATCTAATATTCACGACCTGATATGAGCTTACAGTTGCAGAGTAACATCATTGGAAACTTAACTCGCTACCCTAGTTCCTCGGTGCTCCAAACACTCAGGTCTTCACACACACACAGACAGCTCTTAGTTAAACCTGACTTGTGTTCGAAATGACAACTCTCGAAAACTATCAATATACACAGGTGTGCTCAACTGCTCCACATGTTCCAGTCTTTAAAAGCCAGAGCCATTATAATTACAACTTTGTCTCTAGCGCAATGGCCGTCATTCGGTTGCTTTTGTCTAAACGATGAAAATGGTGTAATCAAAATTAAAATAACATCAGCACGAGAAAAAATTACTGCGTGCATAGGTGCTGCGACAGTTATCCTGGTTGGTGGATGTTGGTGGTGGTCAATACGAAGCTGCGTGTGCGGTGGCACTGTAATTCATGCAAACCGCCACGGTGGCTAAACATAGCACCATAGCCGTTACACAATACATCACCGCGACTGCCCAAAGCAGTGAAAAGATGGTTAGCACACTTTTCCATTAAACCTGGCGAGCACGACTAACGTCTGTGGCTAGCGTTATCCGAACCGGATCTAGGTTTCCGTCTTCACCAAGCTGCACTGACCGGCATGGTGAAGTATTGCCAAGCAGCCTCCACGACCGCCATGGCCATAGGGAGGTCGTCGACCAAAAGACGATTGACAAACTGGCCGTGCACTTTAATGGACACCACTAAAACATCACTAATGTGGCCCAAACACAGCAAAACAACGGAACATACAACTTACGCTTTGGATACATGATCCCTCTGCAAGGGGGAAATGGACCTCGACAGTTCATCATCACCTCCCCCCCCCCCAACCAAAGAAAGAGGTGATCATGCATCTTGATCTGACGGTAGCAGGGTGGCAGTGGTCACGCTTGTGCCTCACAGCAAGAAGGCCCTGGGTTCGATTCCCGCCTCGGGCGCCTGTGTGGAGTTGCTACGTTATTGCCCCATTCTGCTGGGTTCCCCGTTTTCTGCGACTGACAAAACATTTAAATACTGGAAAATTACCTGCAATTACTTAACTTGGATCATATACAGCAGGAACATCGCCCTCGACTAAATAATGTAGCAGGACCCTCCTGAAAGTGTCGAGAGATTCAATGACTCATCTTCCTTGGTTTTTCGGTAAAGTCACGTAGAATGAGAATAAAATAATAAATTGATAAAATAAAATAACACAATAATATTCTCATGACGTTTCGGCCACAACACAAGCGGCCTTCATCAGGTGAAGGGACGAGACTGTCTGGTAGGACAGTGCTTTCCTACCAGACTGTCTCGTCCCTTCACCTGATGAAGGCCGCTTGTGTTGTGGCCAAAACGTCGTGAGAATATTGTTGTGTTATTTTATTTTATCAATTTATTATTTTATTCTCATTCTACGTGACTTTACCGAAAGAACCAAAGAAGATGAATCATTGCAGTCACGAAAGCTTTAAATCGTGATTCAATGACGTTTTTCTGAGTAAACAAGCGTTGTGATAATAATGTATTTATATGATGGAGTATCTTGTAATGTTAGTCTACTGGATTAGTCTCCTTCAGGAATATTAGCCAGGTCTGCTGTTAATTTAGCACTAAATATAGATGATGAATAAGTGCATGCACTTGTAAATTGTGGGCTGGCATATGTACTAAATGTGAGGCTATATGGAAATATACCAACTAAAATTTATCATTTAGGACGACCGCTTGCGTTGCGATCGAAACGTCGTGATATATTAGTTTTTGTTTGATTTTTCTACCTACGCGACTTTACCGAAAGAACCAAAGTGTATTTATATTTGGCTGTTGTTTTTAATCAAAAAGGAAGGCAGACTAGGTTGATGAAGCAAAGACTTCAAAAGTCTGTTGGCTCACATCATGGAGCCTCATCCAACTTCACTCTCTTTTAGAACTTACCTAACCAACCATGCTTATTGGAGGAGGGGGGTGACAACAAACTCCACACCAAAAGCAGTTCTAAACAAATTAGTTTTCAATTTAGAATTAAAAGTGCATAGCTCCAGTGGTTTCCTAATATCGGGAAGAAGAGCATTCCAGATGGCTGCAGAGGTGCATTTTAAAGCACGCGATGCAGTGACCATCTTTCTTTGATGGTTAGCCAAAAGCCACTGCGAGGATGACTGGAGTTTGCGTGATGGTTTAAGTTCCTTGACGAGATCAGCAAGGTATTTAGATTCAGACCAACTGCACAAGAGTGTTTTTCTTGCCTGGGACATTGTTGCTACTTTCATAATATTTTGTTGTAATTATGACGTTTGCTGAACATAAAGAAACTAGGACAACTTAACACAATATAGTAGTGTAATGTGGACGTGTTTTTACAGGTGCCCGATAGAAAATATAATCTCGGGTTTGAACTAAAAAGTACATTGAGCGGCTTGCGTACACGCAAACAACCGTGAACCAAGTTCATCTTGTGATTGCAAACGCATGTGGACCACATTCGTAATTAAAGATAAACTACGTCACAAAAACGTGCACATTCCGCAGGTTGTTCAAATTACACGTTTCACTCAGTTGCACTTTAGGCACACTTTTTAAATCAGCTATTCAACAGCTTGGGAAAACTGTTTAGTTTCCCAGAGACATCGCCTGAAAATGGTACTCGAGAGCATTAGTACAATTATAATCAGAAGTTAAGACAACAGGGTTTGTGTCGATAAGGCAACTTCCTAAACTAGGCCTAACACAGCTGAGAAGATGACTTCTGCATAAGCTAAAGTTAGCTTTTGAAACTGCAAATGTAAATTTCCATGGAACTATAGTAATTATGCAACTGCTCATGGTGCAGCCACAATGTCAGTGTTGCAGGAGTTTAAGAGAGCTGCGTTATGCGGAATTTTAATTTTGCAGTGGAAATAAATGTACAAGTGATGGAAATGCCATTTAAGAAGCTCGTTACATTCAGAATAAGACATATGTTAATAATTACAACATCAACTAGTTTCTCCAGCCTGGGCCTACTCAGAGATCAGACAAGGAACACATGGATTAGAGAACATAAACTAGACAAAAAAATATTTTACCTGATAAAACCCACTGAGTTATATAGCATTTTTCAGAAGTGACCTGGCCACAAATGATAGTCCAATCAAGTGGCTTATCATGTGGAAATGTATTGCAGCCAAATACTCAAAACGCATTGTTGATTCTAAACGTGGAGAGAAAAAAAACGGAGGACCCGGAGAAACATCCACGTGGCCACAGAGAGAGAACACGCAAACTCCAAATGCACACAAGCGTCATGGTCGGGATCGAACCCACGACTAACCAGGCGAAGCGAGTGAGAGACATTAAATTAACTTAAGGACAGTGAGTGGGCTTTGGCAGGACACGTTGCTCGAAAGGACGATGGGTGGTGGGCAAGACTAACGACAGTGGCAGCAAATGTAAGGGAACTCGCCCCGTGAGGACATCCAGTGGACGTCGATCCGGTGTTTTTCATCTTCCTCGAGGGGAAAAAAAATGCTTCCGACCACGATCTTGCGTTTTATTCGGTGTAGGCAGAGGAAGTCGTAGAGGCTT